GGATATCCTCCAGCCTCAGCTTCCCAAGTGATGGGATTATAGGAATGTTCCAGTGGTGTTGGCTCTTTTTTTCAGTTTATTTATTTATTTATTGTTACTTTTTTTTGAGTTAGGGTCTCAGTGTGTAGCCATGACTGACCGGAAATTCTCTGTGTAGACCAAGGTGGCCTTGAACTCATAGAGCTCTTCCTGCTTCTGCCCCCTGAGTGCTAGACTGAAAGGGGTTTACCACCGTGCCTCGCTTTCCTTCACTTTTCATTTATGCCATGTCACCATACTTTGTTGTAATTCTCCTTTAATTTTTTTTTCTTTAGTTTCAATTTTAAATGAAAGAAAAAGAGAGAAATTCTTTCTGGAACAATGTATGGACACAAATCTATGTATTTATGGAAAAACAAGTAAATACAGACGGAAATTAGAACAGAATTTGTGAGAGATTAAAAGAGACACTGTTTGAAGAGACAGATGGGGAAAGGGGGCTGGAGAGAGCTGAAGCTACATGAGAACAAAATAAATACAGCCATGGAGGGGTGAGGGTACTGGAAAGAGACGGGAATGGAAGGAGCATTTAGTGAGCTCCTACCTAATATCAATCCTATAGAACTTGGTGTCATTTTGAGGTTGCAGTTGCTGGTAGTAGCTTCATTTGGGCATGAGGCTAATTCATAGCAATATGAACTGAGCTGCCCATGGCCTTGTCACCTGGATTGAACTCATTTCTCTGTGAACATCATGGTCCACAGTATGCAGCCAGTAATTGTTTATCCATCAAATAGAGTATAGTCTGTTCTTTCCCCCAAGGACAGAGAACAGACCCTTATTTCAGCCCACTGAGTCAATTTTCCTTGTCTGGTAATTCGACAGCAAGGTCTATTGCCCTAGCAACTGCCCTTCGACTGCCATGGCAACCGCCAGTGCAGACTTCAGTTCTGGGCTTTGCACCTTGGACATCTCCATGACGATGTGCAGGATGAAGAGAAGGCCAGAGCCCCAATTCTGCGCCTGCGTAGAGTGACAGGAGGGGGTGAACAGGAGGGGGCCAGGCTCCTGGATGTGCGCAGCCGCAGAGCTCTACGGCTGTGCCCACTAGTCCCAGCGCTGAGCACTTGACAGCCAGTCAGTCCGCCTGTCCGGAGCCCGGCTCGTTGGGGCAGCATGGCGGGGTCGCCGCTGCTCAGCGGGCCGAGGGCCGGGGGCGTCGGCCTTTTGGTGCTGCTGCTCTTGGGCCTTCTGAGGCTGCCCCCTGCTCTGTCAGCGAGGTCCATAAAGGTGCGACTCCAGTCAGCAGGGGATGGGGGTGGGGAGGAGGGTGGGGGAAAGTGTTGGTGCGGCATTCTTGCAGGTATGTGCATAGAGATTGGCAAGAGTGCCCTGGGGTGCAACTGACAGTCCACACTTAGGCCAAGCGCAGGTTCTGGGTGTGAGGGTACTGGGTGCGCACCCTGACTGTCCCTCAGCATGTGGGGCCTGGTATGACCTCGACCCGCGGTGGCCTATGGCGCTGTACATGGGAGTAGGTAGGGCATATTCAGAAAAGATGTCCGTGTCTTTGGTTTAACTGCCCCTGAACGTCCTGCAATACTGGAGATTCTTATGTTTGACGTTTTTGTGGGCCTGATTGCTTTCTCAGTGATACCATGTGCACATTTGTGAACCCTTATGTGTAATGACGTAGTATATGGGCGTATCTTCCTGTGTACTTATGTGCTTCTGTGTTCGGATTTTTTTTTTTTTTTTCATTTTGGAAGACGTGGTCCCTCTACCTCAGGTTACATATTTCGTGGTGGCTTGGGTTGGGTTTTTCCATGTGTGTCCACGAGATGGTTTCCTTCTTGCTTCTTTGTGGAGCTGTGTCATTGCAGGGAAAGAAGCCATGATGTCTCTGTTCTGCACTGTGTTTTTAAAAACGATGCCTCTCCTTGCACCTGGGTGGCTCAGAGAGCATAGCAACACATCATTTCTCCAACAAGGGATGTGCATACAGGCACAAAACAACCACTTCTATGTACTTTCTTGCAGCAGATATGGCAGTGTTGGGTTGCATGTGTAACATTTCAAGGGCTCCATGTGTGGGGGTGGGGTGGGAGGATTGCTGGGGTGTGATTTCCCCAGGGGCTGAGGGTGGGGTGGTGGATGCTGACCAAAGGGAAATGGATGGAGCACCTTGCTCCTCTACCTCTTCAAAGCTGTCTGAATCACAGAAAAAGATTTTTAAAATCCTTATCTGTTTAACATATATGTGAGTTATAGAGAATAATGGTAAAATAATCACCTTAGCATAGCCACTGTTGAGCTTAAGAAATAAAGTATGACCAATACTAGGAATCCTTGACTAGTCTTACCCTCTGTTTTCCCTCACATTGATTCCATTTATTTGTAGCTAATCTTTAAACAATCCATTGTTTAGTTTCTGCTTTTGGAACATAATAGATATGGAATCAAGCTAGGCATCTGCTTCCTGGTGGTTTCACCAAGAAGTCCTTGGTGTTTAATAGTCTTAGGCTATCTACAGTGGGATTCTAGAATTTGCTTTTGTGTGTGTGTGTGTATGTGCATGTGGTTTTGAATCGAGGCCTTCATGCTAGCCCCCAGAACCTTTTTTTTTTTTGTTCTGCTTTGGTGAGAGGTTCATTTATTGATGCACATCATATCCTATGAGTTATCATGGGTATACTAGTATGTCATAGTATATTTACAGGAATTCCCTGTAAATTCATTCCCCCTACTTTTATGCTATTATAAAATACTACTGTGATGGTTCTAGACATTTTATGTTCAGTAGGCTTTGAACACCCTAGGAGTGGACCATAAAAAATTGTTCCTTTTAGACATGGGCAATTTCCCTTTCAAAATGATTTTTGAATTTTGTTTTGTTTTTCCTGACACAGTTTCTCTGTGTAGCCCTAGCTCTCCTGAACTTTATTTGTAGACCAGGCTGGTCTCGAACTCAGAAATTTGCCTGCTGGGCATGTGCCACCATGCCCGGCTTATTTTTGCAAATTTGATTTCCAATAGCAAAGTATTCTATTTGGGGTTCTATGGGGACCTTAAAGACGATAGGAATTTTGGAGGGGCCCAATAAATGTGGTGGTCATTTAAAACCCATGGAGCCCCACCCCTACTTGGGCGACTCTGGCTAGAGAGACGATGACAATATCCTCACCACCACCCCCTTCATCTTTTCGCAGGAGCCCCGCAGTCTGAGCGCAGCATCCGCGCCCTTGGCTGAGACTGGCACTCCCCGCCGCTTGCGTCGGGCTGTGCCCCGAGGAGAGGCGGCTGGTGCGGTGCAGGAGCTGGCGCGGGCGCTGGCGCACCTGCTGGAGGCCGAGAGACAGGAACGCGCGCGTGCCGAAGCACAGGAGGCAGAGGACCAGCAGGCGCGTGTCCTGGCGCAGCTGCTGCGTGTCTGGGGCTCCCCGCGTGCCTCGGACCCACCCTTGGCCCCGGACGATGACCCGGACGCTCCTGCTGCACAGCTCGCACGCGCTCTGCTCCGTGCTCGCCTAGATCCCGCAGCCCTCGCGGCTCAGCTTGTCCCTGCGCCTGCCACTGCACTGCGCCCCCGGCCCCCAGTGTATGACGATGGCCCCACTGGCCCAGATGTCGAGGACGCCGGTGACGAGACTCCTGACGTGGACCCGGAGCTGCTGAGGTGCCCGTTGGGGCCAGGGGGAGGGAGGGCAAGGGCTGCGGGACCTGCTTCATAGATGGGAACCGAGATCACTAAAGCGCTGTGCGAGCATGAGAAGTGAAGTCCTAGATCCCGGGTACAGGGGACAGGCACCCATATACCTCCTCTCTGCCTGGAGAGGTCTTTGGGGAAGGCATTTCTGGGATGGAAGGTGGGGACCTCTGACTTCCTCTGAAAGTAGTGAGTACCCCAGGCTTCAATGGAGGTTGCAAGCCATATGGTGTCACAAACTTGTGTTGTCCGGGCTGGGGACTACAGAGGTGATGCCTAGCCTCATCCTCACTGCATTCCACTTCATCATGCAGGTACTTGCTGGGACGGATCCTCACCGGAAGTTCGGAACCAGAAGCTGCTGCAGCCCCGCGCCGCCTCCGCCGAGCTGCGGACCAGGATTTGGCTCCTGAGGCGCCTCCCGAGAGTGTGCTGGGGGCACTGCTACGCGTGAAACGCTTGGACAACTCTTCGCCCCAGGCGCCCGCACGCCGCCTTCTGCCTCCCTAAGCGCTGCCGCATCCCACACGCCCTGGAACCCAGGAGCGCCCCCAGCAACCCTGACTTCCTGCCAGCACGTCCACAGCCTCCTACCTGGCTACCCTAAGACCCCCCCATTCCCTGAACCCTCAATAAACGCAATCTATAGCAGCTCTTTGAGTGGCGTGTTCTAGGGGGCAGTAGGTTAGGTGAGAGGTGGCTGTCTATTTGGGTTCTCTACAGACAAGGAGCCCATGCCTAGTGTGTGTGCTTTACTTGCCAGCAAAAAAGCACCTACAGACAATAGCTGTGTCATTGCAGTACTGACCTTCTAGGCTTCACTGAAGTGGGGTTCCCTGGGAGGCTGAGGTCACTTTCAGAGTCTGCCAGGGGTCCATGGCATTAAAAGTCAAGCAGCTATGACTACACTTGTTGCCCACCAGGACTAGGGGCTTCTTGTCCTAGTATCCAAAACAAAGTGGGGCAGTTTCTCAAGTAATCTTCCTCTAAAGTCATTGAATGAAAATTCAAGCAACATTCTCCCACCCACATAACACTTGGTATGAAAGCTGGGTATAGTATACACACCTATAATCCCAGCACTTGAGAGGTGGAGACAGGAAGGAGTTCAATGTCACCCTGGGCTACATGAGGACCTGTCTCAGATCAAAACAATCCTTGGCATGGTGGCACATAGCTTTTATCCGAGGATTGAAGAGGCATGGGCAGAGGCAAGTAGTTCTCGGAGTTCCAGTCAGGGCTACATAGTAAACCTGTCTCAAAACAAACAAGCAACCCCAAAAAGACTTAGTATGAACAACATTTATTCCATTTTTGCATAGAGCTTCATAAAACACAGCCAATGCTGGACACCCCATTGTTCCCACCTAACTCCTCACCAAATGAGAATAAAAAGGTGTCCATGGTAACTGTTATTTGGTGGGGGAGGGGACACATGCCAAGAGAATTGTCATCTTGACATGACAAGAGAAGGGTCAATTTGCTTGACTAAGATCTTCAGGCTACAGAGCAGCCACAGCTACACACAGCTTTGTGGTGTCGGGTCTTCTCCCTGCTTGGCTCAGCCACAGCCTCCTGGGCCCTCTGAATCTCATGGACAAGCAGAGCAAAGGCTTCCTCTACACCTTGCCGTGTCTTGGCTGAGGTCTTCACGAAGGGGGCTCCCCACTTGTGAGCCAGGATTGCTGCAGCAGTGTGAGCATCTCCAGCAGTCGTCGCTAGGTCACACTTGTTGCCCACGAGTACCAGGGGCTGCTTCTGATTCGGGCTCCAGGTGGACCATATCTGCTGCAGTTGGTCCAGAGATGACGGGTCATCAAGAGCAAAGACTCCCAGCACGCCATCGCCAGCTGCTAAGCACTGGTCACGAAGGGCCCTGTGGATATCCTGCCCGGCTGTGTCCAGCACATTCAGTATGTAGCCACCATTGTCCAGGGCCACCTCCTTCCAGTAGGAATCCTGGATAGTGGGGTCGTGGTCTTTCACGAAGCAGTGGTGGGTCATCTGGATAGTGAGAGCACTTTTACCAACACCACTTGCACCCACCACCACTGCCTTGTACTCAGGAAGCTGCCTGCCAGCATCTTTGCATTGTGCCCACGCCTCATGGCTTTCCTCTGGAGATCTGGTGCACTGTGTGTTGAGGCTCAGGTCCAGGATGCTAGACTTGGTTGGCAACGCCATTCCCCAACAGTCAGCTCAAGAAGGGCTGTAAACAGCAGGTGCTGAGAGTGAGGAGAGAATGCTAGGTCAGGTGAGACTGGTTGGAAGAAAGGAGACCCCCAGCTGCCATTGAATCAACATACCTAAGAACACCATGCTGTTTTCTCCTTGTTTGGGGGTGGGGTGAGGCAGGGTCTTAACATCTAGTGCAAGCTAGCTTGGAACTCGTCCCACAGGTCGTGCTAACCTCCAAGTTTCAGCAATCCTCCTGCTCATTAGAAGCAAAATTGCCTTTTATCTCTGAAGGAAGGAAAGAAGCATGGCATGGTGGGACACACCTATAATTCTAGCACTGGGAGGGCAGAAACAGGATTGCTGAAACTTGGAGGTTAGCCTCTTTGGTTCAGCTACTCCTTCAATACCGAGTGGGGATGTTTCTTTTTCATATATATCTAATTTTAAAATTGCATTTATCTTGTGCATGGAGGTGTTAGATTGGGATCGATGGAAATGACGTAACCCTTGCAGGGATGGGGTTGTGCATGTATGCTATAGCATTTGTGTGGAGGTCAAAGGACAATCTATGGGAGTAGGTGCTTTTTCTGCAGGAAAGGTGTTTGATAGCAAACACCTTTATCTCTGAGCCATCTGGCCTGCCCTGGGATTTTTCAAGCACTCCTACTACTGATATTAACATGCATCCCAGGAAGTCCACCCAGTTAAAAAGTGAGACCCTTGTATAACCATCACTATAGTTTGAATTTGAAAATGTTTAAAAAATCTTGAACATCTTTATCTTCTGGAAAAGAATCTCTATATCCCTTAGCAGTCTCTCTCCATTGCACAAGGAGAGGGTGATTTGGTTTGGTGATCTTTAAACTCCAGCTTGTCACAGCAGTGCCTATCTGGTGATTGGCTGGATTCCCATCCACTACGTTCTAAAAGAACATCTCAATGCAGAAAGATAATAAATCAGGGCTGGAGAGCTATAGCACAGTTGGTTTAGTTCTCACATAGCATACATGGAGCCCTGACAGCAATTCTCATAAAAAACAGTCTGGTAGCTCACACCTATAATATCCCAGTATTCAGGAGGTGGAGGAATGATCACAAGTTCAGAATCAGCCTCGGTTCCATAACACATTGTGAACCAGGCCCTATTTCAAAGAAAAGAAAAAAAAAAGGCAAACCAAATCACATAGTCTAATAACCTATATTTTGAGGCAGAGACATAGATATACACAGAAAGTAAAACAAGACTGAGGATGTGGGTCAGTTGGTAGAATGCTCACCTAGCATCCATGAAGTTCTAGATTTGATCCTCAGTACAACATAAAATCAGGCAGAGGACCAGCAAGACATCTCAGTGGGTGCTAACGCTTGCTGGGAAAGCCTAGCAAGCTGAATTATTTCACTGGACCCCACAGTGACCGACACACAGCTTTAGTCCAGCACTTAGGAAGCAGAGGTAGGTGAATTTCCATGAGTTCCAGACCAGCCAGGACTCCACTGGGAGACCTTGACTCAAAAAAGCAAAATCACCACCCTTAACAACAAAAAAACTTCAAAACAGCAACACCCCCAACAAAAACATTAACCGCTGTGAACAATACTTTCGATATTTTCTCATATTTCACACTGTTGTCTATAACCTCACGTTGTTTGGCACCAGATAAGTTGTTAACTATTGTTAGGTATTTCATTATTTAATATTAGCTAATTAATTAAAAAAAATCTTCCTGTATGCCAAGCATTGACATGGCACAGAACAATACAGACTGAACTACCGGGGCCTTGGAGAAAGTCTACTGAAAAGAGAGACAATAAATATGATAAGTAAGGAAATTATCTTCATAGTAGAAGAGGTTAGGCACACAGCAGGTGCTCAATTTGTGTTAGCTATTAATAGCAAGTCATTAACTCACTGAATGCACCTCCATATCCGGTTGGGGAAGGGCCCTCCAAGAGTGCACCATAATGGTGGTTACCACACTTTTCACTAGAAACCAGGAGGAGTGGCAGTTTGGGGGCAGGTGGTGGGTTCCAGGGATCCCTGGCAGATTCTTTAGAGTTTGGGGAAGTAAGGAGGGATGGGGGTTGGGGGAAGGGCTTACCCACAAAGGGATGAAAGTTAAGAAGAAAACTGAGCAGAGAACAGAGCTTTGGAGTATGCCAGAGTCTGGGGACCCAGCCAGGAAAAAGTTTGTAGAGACTCGGTGAGAGAAAGAACCAGGATGGCCGGAGAAGGAGAAGAACCCAGGGCTGGGGTAGTGGAGGCGGCGGTGGCAGCCGAACAGGTGGAAAGGAGAGGACAGGTTCTGGTTTATTCTGAAGGTGGAACTGAACAGCTCTCTTTTTAAGATTAAAAAGACAGGAGATCGGGAAAGAATGACTCTTAAATGTGGGACTGCAGTAGCTGCAAATCTAGGGGTGCTGTGATCAGAGGTGGGGATAAATACGAGAAGGGTGCCTCCCGAAGGTACTGGCAATTACCACAGTGGAGTTAGGAGCTGCGGGGAGGCCGAGAGAGTCCCCAATATGGCCACTCAACCTAATCTTTGCGATACCCCAGGAAGGCTGGGGCTATAGTCTCCACGTCTTATTTTCACAAGGGACACAGAAAAAGAATAAGGGGATTGGCCCCAATCCCCTCAGCAGGGACGGTAGAGACATCACAGATTGGGGCTTCAGCTTTCTGCTCAAGTTACAGAACTCCTAACTGTGTAGAGTGCTGCTGGAGCATCCCCAAAGAGCTCTGGGGACCCTGTGGTCACCGGCCTGAATCAGTCTTCTGGACTTGCATCTCCCACCCAGGAAGGCAGGAGCCCCAGGAAGGCGAGCAGAAGCAGGCTGGGCATACGGGGTCAAAGAGAGAGGGAAGGGTACGGAGTTGCTCCAAATAAGAGAGCTTGTGGCCCCTTCTCGGGGTTAGCTTGGACAACTCGCCTGGTCCCTGCCTGCACTTTTCCATGTTAAGAGTCAGGTGTGGTGTAAAGCTCGGGGTTGGGGAAAGGCGACCCTAATCTATCCCTAAGTTCCTCCACTTCTGACTCAAGTTAGTCTGGTGGCGGTGGCGTCCCAACTGCTCCTTTCTCCTCCTCCTATACCTCGAGAAACAGCCCTGCTTCCCGCTCACGCACGGTAGGCACTGGACTAAGGTGAAGGGAGTGCGAGGCTCGCTCCCAGGACAAGGCAAGGATGGGGAAGAGGCCCCTGGAACCCTGCGCCAAAAGATGCCTGGCTCAGGAATGCCAGGGTCCAGCTTACCTGTGTCCCCGGAGTGGCGGTCTGCTGAGGGGCAGCAAGCAGCTCTGACTGGACACTCTGGGGGTTAGGATGCTCCCTACCCCCAGCAGCGGCAGAGGGCGGGGATGTGGGCTTGCCCCCTCCCACCTGCCCGACCCCTGACCCCCTGCCTTCCTTCTCCGCCATCGCACAATGTGGAGAGCAAATGTGGGCGGGACCTCCACCTGCCCCTCTTTACACAGTACCCCCCTTCGGCCCGCCCCTCCCTCGCCTGAATTGCTTGCTTTAGGGTTGGTTCAGCTTGGGCCATTTGTGTGTGTATAGTGCTGTGTCAGGATTTGACCTGGAAGACCACATTTTGGAAACCACTTTGAGTATTTTTTTGACCCACAGAACTTGTACAACTTCAGCTGGGTTTGTAGGTAGCTCTGGATGGAAGGTTGTGTTTGTCCTGAAGGGAAACAACTGCAGGGGAAAGGCTATTTCATGAGGACAGAAGAAACCTGATCTGAGGCACAAGTGCAAGTTATAAATCCCTCAGACTCTCTTGCAGCTATGACAATCATAGTCTAGAATTCTAAGCAAGTAAGGTGGGGGCATTTGTAATACTTCCCCAAAGGGACTGGACTGGCTTGAGACAAAGCTCAGTTGGTAGTGCTTGCTAGGCAGGCAGGCACTGCCTTAAAGGTATCAAGTAGCACCCTGCTGTCACTCCAGCATCAGGGAGGTAGAAACAGAAGGCTCAAAAGTGCAAGGTCAGGACTGGAGAGATGGCTCAGTGGTTAAAAGCACTGACTGCTATTCCAGAGGATCTGGGTTCAATTCCCAAGCACCCACAGGACAGCTCAAATCCACCTGTAACTCCAGTTGCAGGGATCTGCCACCCTCTTCTGGCCTCTGTGGCACCAGACATGTACATGGTGTGGAGACACACATGCAGATAAAACACTCATACAAATAAAATTTAAGTGGGATGTGCAGGGCCTGGAGAGAGGTCTCAGTGGCTAAGAGCACTGACTGCTAAGTTTGATTTCTAGCACCCATATGCAGCTCACAACTATCTATAACACTGGTTCCAGACGACCTGACAACCATGGCAAAACACCCTGAATTTTATGAGTTATATGAGACCCTACCTAAAAGGAGTGGAGGCAAAGCTGCTCTTTTCTCTTTGACAAGGTAAGTCTAGGAACAAAATCCCTAAACATCAGTCAGAGGAGTTTTCAGAAGTGGAAAAAAAACTCCAGAAAAGTCGTACAGTCATCCAACTCTGGTAAATGGCACTGCACTCTTCCCCCCAGGATGCCAACCATAACCACTACATCCAAGTTAAAATTGAGGCTTACCCTCACCAAGCAAGTCAATGAGATAAGACGGGTAAACAGGCCCAATGAGGCTACTTCCTGACAGTTTTCATGTCCTCTTACCCTAGAGGTCAGCCGTGACAGGCTGAGACCCTTTGTCTTTTGTTTTCGGTCCTAGAACTTTGCTATGTAGACCAGGCTGGCCTCCCAAGTGTGGGGATAAAAGGTATGTGCCACCATGCCTCGCAAGACTCCTATTTCTATGGTGGGCACTTATTTTCTCCTGAATTTTATTATTTAATTTTCAGTGGAGCCAATCTAGCTTCCTGCTTCAATTTCAGATTTTTTTTGGGGGGGGCAATGGATGGACAGTTGACTTGATGAAGACCCCCCCCCAAGTTTCTTCTTCCCTCCCTTCAGTTGTGCTGGCTAGAAATGAGGGGTTTTTCAAATTAAAAAAAAAAACTTTCTTCAGGTTTTGTAACAACTTAAAACTTTATTAAATACAC